CCCAGTGTGCTTTTAGGTTGGTTGAGCTTAAATGTTGGCCATCGGCCTTGTGAAAAACCTATAAAGGCATTTTGCATGTGTTGGAACCGAAGTCTGGGGGAGTTGATTTTCTCTCCATGGTGCACATCTAATGAATTATTCCACGTATGGTTCATGTTGTTTGGTGTTTTTTTATTTCCGGGATGGTGGATCCCAACCACTCATACTTCCAGAGCGTAGCAACGTTCTCCCAATTCAGGGGGTAATTTTGCCGCTTGGCGATGGGCACTAGTTGGCCCCCATTAGTGACTGGATATCGAGTAGTTTGAGGCCCTTAATTGTGGGGAGGCTATGCAGGCAATAGTGGCCCATCGTCAGTGGCGCTGCCTCCTTAAAATTCTGGATGATATCTATTTGGAGCTTTGTATTGAGTTCTACTACACCTTCGCCCTCTTTGAGAAGAAGACCAAATTCTGGTTACTGCAAGCCCCACATGGTATTTGAATTGGGAGAAAAAGTTTAGAGAGATGAGCTGCACAGAGCTTGCGATGGCTATGCGGTTGGAAAACGCATCAATGACGGACTATACGGTCGACTTCATTAACGACCTCGAGTATGAGTACGTGTTCAAAAGGGTTTTCCTACCTCAGTATTGTCAATACTGATATGTTTGTTATGACCCCTGCTCGTACCACGATAATAATGCTTCAAACTCAATGAAGCATCATCATAACTTTACTTGCTTTCTCCATTCTCCCAAGTGAAAGATCATCCAACAAAGTTACCAAGTAGTCGGATCCCACCGAGAAGTTGCACCTTGGGACAGTTTTGTTAATCTCATTCTCCAAGGCAACATGCAATAGCCATAATAATATCATGCATTTGGGGTCGTACATCACCATGTTAGCTCAGTACCTTAACATCGACCTCCATTGTTGGACCAAGTTGGGCCGCACGACGAACTTCAAAGAGGATACATTGGGTTCTATGCACTTACTCTGAGTTTTGGGCCTTACCCATACATTGAGGGTCTCTTCGCCCCTCTGGAGCCAGAGAAAGCCCAGAGAGCACCACCACCATCACACTGTCGTGTCTATCATGGGGCTTCATCATCATCATCAAGAGCATGACCATTTTCTTCTTCTTCATCCAACTTAGAGGCATGAGTCACTGCCCTCGAGGGTCAGTTTGTTGGGGTGTCTTCATAGATCGTTGGAGAGGGAGACGTCCGATGAAATACACACTTCTTGGTTGAGGAGCTTGCCCATGCTCAGGGCATTGAGGTTCGAGATCCCGAGTGGCGATCCTCACCCCCTCATCGCCAAGAGTAGACATAACTTGTGCAATGTTGGCACCATAGTACTTCTGCCTTCTTTCTCCACCCTTGGACTCTAGACTATTATTTTTTTCTTTTTGTTTTTTGAACTAGTGTTACTATTGTGTTTATTTTCCTTTTATGTGATGTTGGATAATGTTATTGTGTAATAATCTCGCCTTGTGTGAGTATGTATTTGTGTTTGTCTCCTTGTGAAGCTCTCTCCCCTTCGAAACTGGTCGATCTCCAGTTCGACTTTCACTCGCCAATTTTATGAGGTAACTTCATTCCACCCTTCTCTATACTCCATTGAGGACAATGTCGTGCTCAAGTTTGGAGGGGGTGTACATGTAGTTGTGATTAACGTGCGAATAATGAGTGTGAATGGCCTATTTGAATATGTTGGAGCCTTGTGATTGCCAAATTCCTACAATTTGAGCGCTCCAACCACTTGTGCATGAATAAATGATTAATGTACGATATTGAGATATATTTTGGAACCTAGATTATTGCTTGAATTGATAATTTTAAGGGTTCTAATCAAAATTGTCCCTAGCATGATCTTGCTCAGTGTGCTTTGAATTGTTAATGATTATGATGGTGTGAACTATAGGGAATATTGAGGTGTCATGAGAATCTTTGATAATGAGTGGTTTTACTTTGATTTCCTCTCGATTGTGTGAAAGTGTTTATTATAGAGGTTAAGACATGTGTGTGGGACTTCCCAAGTAGAACTCCAAAATGTTTTGCAAAAGGTGCTCCAAATTTGAATTTTTTTAAGAAAAATGAGGTTATCACGTGAGAGGCAACCGGGCTTAGTGTTTAAGTTGAGCCATCGAAGGAAGCTTTTCTTGGTCCGGATTGCCATTGAGGATGTGTTTGGGGTTTAGATAGCTTTCTAATGTCCCGATCATCTTTCACTACCTTTTATCCCCTAAACATTTCTCCTCCTCACGGGCTCGTATGGCAAGAGAAAAAGTCTCTTTATTGAGTCACGAGACCTCGGCTCTCATTTGCACCCGACATGTGTGGCAACCCGTCTGTCGTTGAGATGTGGAAGTGCAAGTTGGGAACAGGTGTTCAGGGGCATGAATCTGACCATCATCTTTCCCACATTGGACATTTGGTCCTCTAGAGTTCTTCATGCTTGATCCAATCTTCCATAGGTTGCTTTGTACCTTCAAAACCATCAAAAGTATACCAAGAAGGTGTTAAATAGTACAAGAAAATTTCCTAGGTCTATTAAAAGCTCATTGATCAAATAGTTGCGATTTAGACAAGAAATACCATTGAAATGACTAAAGATGCATTGATAGATGGGGAAAATGTATCAAGAATGGGAGTGAAAAACACTGTAAATGAAGTGTTATAAGGAAATCGTACAAGATATTTCAATGAAATACTATAATGGACAACCAAAACCCAAATAACATCACATTCATAACCTAACCAATGTGAAATTCAAAAGAAAGGAAGCAATGAACCAAGAATTTCTACCTTGGGTTGCTTTAAGATATTGATATGATGTTTAGTAAAAGCAAAAATTTCACAAAATGATGAAAATCAAATATTTGGGAACTACAGTGAAAATAAGATGCAAGAATGGGTTTTGGAGAGTTAAACTTGGGGTGGAAATGGGTAAAATGAGCAGCCGCTGAAATTTTTCTTTATAAGATACTCGGATGAGTTCGCGGACTCCATCACCTAGTTCACGACCGCGAACTTGGGATGGCAACCATGATCTTTCACGCAGTAGTGATTTCGTGTCCTAAGGTATTAATCACAAACACGATCTCAAGTATTGAGGCAACTAATGACTCGATATTTGCACATGTTTTCCCCTTTGTTTCTTGATCGTTTAAGCTTGCATTATCGCTTCTTTGGCCTATTTTATGCTAGGTTGTGTTTTTTTGTCACATTTCAGGTCCCAAGCGTCGAGGAAAGGCTAGGCGCAAGTTTCAAGTCAATCGGATACCAATTGGCGATTCAGGAGAAGAAACTAGGGCATGACCTGAAGAAGAATGGATTTATACCTCATTTATGGAAAAATAATCATGAAAGCTTGTGATTAAAAGAAAGAGGACGAGACTACGAGCGTCTGGGATCAAACGGCGACTGATTCGGAGTTCGGACGAGGGAGAAACGAAGCATTGAATATAGGGGAACAAGTTCGGCAGTAAAAACACGGGCAGACTACCCTAAAAACACGGCCGTGTTTTATCTGGGCCCCGCTAGTGTTTTTAATGCCGATGCCGTGTCGTGAGGGCTGCTGGGGGCAAAACACGGGCTGGCAAAAGTAAAACACGGCCGTGTCTTCGACCGTGTTTTGCCCAGAATCGGGTTTTTGAGGCAGATTCAAGCCAAAGGAAAGGGAGAGCTGGGTTTTGGTTCCCAAACACCCAAGGGACGAACCCTAGAGAGAGAGCGACTTGGGAACGTTCTTGGAGCTATTTTGGAGGATTTCTTCACCATTGGAGCTCGGGAATCAAGCTTGGAGATGGAGATTGAAGATCTACATCAAATTTCTGCAGTCTCTCTTTTCTCTATGGAGTAACTTCCCTTCACTTAGGTTTTGAGGAACCCTAGTTCCATGTGTTAGGATCTTTCTTGTATGAAGTTTTGGATGCTATATTGTTTGATTATAATCGATTGAGGCATGATTTATTGAGTCAATTGAATCTTGATCAAATTCTCTTGATTTCTGCTTTAACCTATGATAGATAGAATCTGATTAGGTTAAGAGAGCTTCCTTGATTGATAGTGGTGAATTGGTTGTGCGAGAGTCAATCAATTCACTGCTTTGTATTGGAATTCATTACAGTAGTGTAGGGGTGGGCATTCGGTCGGTTCGGTTTCGACCGAACCGAAATTATGAATATCGGGTCCCTGAATTCTCTCAAACCCCAAACCGAATTCAAACCGAATTATAATTCGGTTCGGTCGGTTTAAAGCGAATTATAATTCGGTTTGGTTTTTCACCCAAAACCGAATTTGTGAAGCTACTTGTATTTTCTCACTTTTAAAATATTTTTCATCCCTAATATAAACAATAAATATATATTATATGCATCATCAATGATAAAATCAAACTTTTCAACACATAAGTCATAAAACATTTCAAATATTTAAGTCTAAAAACAACTACAAACATAAAATTCCACCATTTGGAGCTTGCAATTATAGTATTTCGGTTTTTTGGTCGGAAATTCAGTTCGGTTGAAAGAACCCTGGTTTCCGAACTATCCATATTTTCCTTCCGAATTCCGAATCGAATAGCATTAATTCGGTTTCGGTTCGGTTTAATTCGGTTTCGGTTTGGTTCGGTTCGGGTTTACCGAACCGTTTGCCCACTCCTACAGTAGTGCAGATCTGTGTGAATCGCCTTAGCAGTCTATCCCGGTGAAGGCTAGTCGCCTGCCGGGTCATCTGTCCAAGAGGGCTTGGTCAGCTTAAGAGATTCCAAGCTAATTTAGGATCTTCTGCAGTTTAATCAACAGTAGATCAACCAAAGGTAATTTCAACTTGGACCTAATTGAGGAGCTAGGGGGAATCATACCTAAGTGAGTTCCCAACTTGTAATTAGTAGAGTAGTTAGTAGAGTAGTTTGGTAAATCAATTCTTAATCTAGTTTGCTAGATAATGAACTGAAGCTGAGTAATAGTAACTCTAGAGACCCATGGATTCGATATCTATTACTTGTGCCACTATACTGCAGTCCCTTTCATTGGTTACATTTGGCCATTGTTAGGTGTTGTGTCGTAGCGTGTCAGCAACGATCTATACATAGCTAGCAGAATGCAAGAATATTTGCACAACAACTAATTCTAAACTAACAAAGATGCACAAACAAATTATCCTAGCATTCAACTTGTTCCAAGCTATCATGGTAAATGGTTTAATCTACCAACTTTCAAACTAACTTAAAACGATAGAAAAATGCAAATGATATAAAGGAAAGAAATTGAAAACTGAATGTTAGGTTGCCTCACAACAAGCGAGTGTTTTTGGTTTTTTCGCCAGACTCCCTCCACTTGGTGATTATGAACTTGTATGGCTCTCACCCACCGTTGATGCTTCATAATAAGCACCCTTGTGGTGGAGACCAAGGTAATGTCTGTGGAGTCTCTTGGCTTATCTCTTTGTTTCAAGTTCCTCAATGTCCTCAATGTCTTTATTTGGGGGATTAACTTTGGATTAGGGGTGGGCATCGATTCGGTTTGGTTCAAATTGAACTAAAATGAAGCATATCGGGGTCCTGACTTACCCCTATCTTAAACCGAATTCAAACAGAAATATAATTTGGTTTGGCCAAACTGAATTATATCTAGATTTGGTCTGGTTTCAAGGCCCTAAACCGAAATATTATCGCCAACCATGCCTCCTTGTTTTCTTCTTATTCTTCGCCACCATTATCTCCCTCCTCCACCGCTACTCTCTCCCTCCTCTTTGTCTCTCACTCTCTCGAAAGAATTTGCGAAATACGGCCGCCAACAATCCTTCTATCCTTCGATTTTAGACTTCCCTCTCCGCCTCTACTGCGTGCTCTGTCAGTCTCCTACCGCTACCACTATCTCCCTCCTCTCTGCCTCTCGCTCTTTCAGAAGAATCTATAGAAGACGACTGCCACTAATTCCTCTCCGGATCTTCCATCTCCACTCTATCTCTCGATTTGCGACTTCCCTTTCCGCATAAATTGACCGCTCTTTGCTCCGCCTCTAGGTTAAATCATGTGTGGAATGGACTTTGCATGTCGGGGAGCTCCTCTCCTCTTTTGACGTGGTGTGAGCATGAAGGAGAAGATGGCAGAGCGATGGCCGATTTGATGGCGGATGGCGAGGCGGTGGCGGCCGCTATGTGAGGTTGGAGAGGATGGGGTTTCAGTGGGCTTGAGAGTGGTTGTGGGTTGGGTTTCACTAGGTTGTGGGGTAAGAGAATGGCTTAGGGTTGGGCTGTTGTGGGCATATGTTGGTTTTCGATCAGAATTCAGAATCTCAGTTCGGTTGAAAGTATCATGTTTTATGAAGTAACCATATTTCTCTTCTAAATTCCGAACCGAACAACATTATTTCAGTTTGGGTTCAGTTTACTTCGATTTTGGCTCGTTTCAGTTCGGGTTTACCAAACTGGATGCCCACCCCTACTTTGATGAGATTTCTGGCATAGTTAGAACAATATCATTGACCTCAATTGGCTTGAAAAATCCTCTAACTTCTTCTTTCTGATTTATTGGAGTAAGCTTCCTTGTTTCAAAATCTCTCTTCAAGTTCATACTTCCTAAGCTTTTTCTTTTTGCTTTGAAAATAGTAGACGTCTTGTGTAGCCCTTCATTCTTCTTCTTACCATTAGGTCTCTTATTTGTAAGCCTTTCCTTGTAATTTGCCAAATCACAATTCGCTTGGTTGGCATCGAATATAGATTACATGTTCACCCATACTATTTTTGGGATTGGTGGTGAGGTTGGTGTAGGAGTCACTGGCTCACAATCATGAGCAACATATTCCCACTTGCAGTATTTGTGAAAAGAGGGGATTAGAGTCATGGTGTAATTTATATCCTCTTGACCGAACCTTAGGGTTATACGATTGCACTTAAATCAATGATGGTCGCAGTTGCTAAGAATTGTCTCCCGAGGATGATATGAGCATCCTTCCATATCCATAATCACCAAATCCACCGTGTAGACAAAGTGAGGACACTTTACAAAGACATTCTCGACCACTCCCTTAGGTGTCGCAACTGATCGATTGGCTAGTTCAACCTTCATGCTCATTGGCATGAGAGTGTTGAGGCCAAGATCCTTATAGATCTTTGTCGGCATGATGTTGATACTTGAGCCTAAGTTCGCAAAAGGCGTCCAGAATGTCTTATCACGAAATGTGCATGGAATTATGAAGAATCATGGATCTTATATCAAAGAATCCATGGCAACTTGTCCATCTTCCTCTTCCCAGACAAGATCTCCTTCAAAAACTTTGTATAATTTGGGACCTTCATCACAATGTCTAGAAACAGTATTGTGACCTTTAATTGTTTCAGCATGTCCTTCCATTGACCACATTCACGGTATAATTCACTTTCAAAAGCTCTCTTTGGGTATGGAAGCATGGGAAGGCATTCTGGTATCTTGGTCTTGGCCTTCTCTTGATCTTCTTCTTCTATCTTCTTTTCTTGGTCATCAATATCACTTGAGATTCTCTTTCCTTCGTTTGAGACTCTTCGGTGTGTTATTGGGTTGTCAGACCATACAAGATGGGAAAAGAGAACCTTCACCCTTAGTGATGATGCAATGTCTTAAGTAGTCCTACCACTTTGAAGAGTACCTTAGCCTACTACCCCATGAAGGGGGGGGGGGGGGGGTGGAAGAGAGCCATGGAAAGGAAGGAAGAAAACATGAATAGGGGTTCCTTGTTGTGCAGAGAAACTCCTCTTTCATCCCTTCTTCTTATCTTCGTCACTAAGGTAGCAAATTCTCTCTCTAGTTCCTCTTTCTAGGGTTTGAGCTTCCAAAATCATGTGAAATGAGGGGAGCAACCCTCTATTTATAGAGATCCTGAGGGACGAGCAGGTTCACGACTGAACTTCACGAGATCATGATTACGATCTTTGTTATCGGCGGCCCAATGGCGGGTTGGACCCGTCATGGATTCCTTCCTCTGTTTGGGTTGTAACTTCTCTAGTGAGCTCCTCTTGGGCTCATATGAAGACTTCCTCTAAGGCCTCCCTTCGTTTGGCTTCGATAAATGGACGAATCACTCCTTACTCTTCTGATAGTTACCCCTTTGATCTTTTTATTTGATCTAATGACTGATCAACCATCATTGATTGTGTTTCTCCTTAAAATGTACAAACTATACCAAAAAGGCATAAATTAATACTAAAATACAGCAAAGGTCTATTATAAATACATTGATCCATTATCCAAAAAAATAATACATTGATCAAATAGTTGTTAATTCCATATAAAATATAGTAAAATGTGCTAAAAATACGTCGATAGAAGGGGATATATATCAAATATGGTAAGCAATAAACACTATAATTTTAGTGTTATCACATATTCATCAGTCTATTTGCTTCTCAAACTTCTATTGATTTTAGTGGTTGCAATTTGCAAATGCAAGTGTGGAAATAACTTTTAGTTTTTAGTTGCATCAAGAATAACCTTTGGAATTGCATAGAAGATCAGTTTATTTTAGAGTCTACTCGAGCTTAATTATACATGTTTTACCCTTCATATCTTGGTCGTTTGACTTGCCATTTAGTATTCTTTGGCCTATTTTACACTAGGTTGTGCTTTGTTTGTCAAATTTCATGTCGTATGACGTAAATTTGACCAACGAACGAGTTTCAGTACATTTAGAGGTGAGAATGGGCATAAATGCATCAGGGGAGCATATGTCACGATCTAGGCCGTGAAATTCAACAAATATGTCATGGTATGCACAAAGAAACGACAACAAGACTGTAATTCACGGGCAATTTCATATCTTACGGCTTAGCCGTGACATAAGACTCAAACCCATGACTTACACCCAAAAACAGTGCGAACTAGCGCATTTTGCATAGGTCTCGAACTGTGTCATGGTCGTGACCAGCGCAATGCTCGAGTATAAAAGCTGCTACTACGATTTTGAGAAGGGGAGAGCTAGGATTTTCACCCAAAAACACCCAAGAGCCGTCCAAAGAGAGGGAGAGTAACCTAGGAGGATTTTTGGAGCTAAACTGGAGGTGCTTAACCACATTGGAGCTAGAAGATGAAGATTGAAGATCTTGAGCTTTATACTGTATTCTCTCTCTCGTCTGTATGGATTAGTTCTCCTTCATTGATGTGTTGATAAACCCTAGCCATGTTCTAGCTTTGTGTGATTAGAATTGATGTTTGAATGATTCTTTTGATTATATATTGAATTGAGTTATTATCATAAAATTGTGTGGGTATTGATCATAACTCTCCAATTTGGGGCTGTTAACCTAGCACGGAGAATATCCAACCAGGTTGATTAAAGCATTTCTCAATTCTTCATTGTGGGCCGATGGATCGAGCATGAAATCGTACTACAATGCTGTATTGGATCATTATCCATAAGTGGAGGTCTAAATTGCATGCCTTAGGTGTTCTATTTTGTCGGATGTGGAAACTCTCCCTCCGGATTATCCATCCTAGGTGAGATTGGATAACTCAAAAGGTAGTTCAAGCGGGTTTAGGATTCTCCACGCTATAAGTCTCAAGTGGGCAAGCTCGGATAGTCATTATCAATCTGGTTCGTCATTATCAATCTAAACTGGGTGGTTAGATAACCAACCGAAGCAAAAGCAGTGGTACATCTACAAATCTTTGAATTCAACAATTTATTACGTTACTTCCACTATACTATACCCGATCTTTGGTTATACTTGGCATTCGATTATGAAAGTAGTTTAGAGTCGAGTCAATGATTTCAGTGAGATATATAGACAAAGATTTAATAAGCAATGTAAACACTGAATTAGTTTAAAATTTTTCAAAATATGTAACTTGTGCTACCTGTATATTGTCTAACTTAATTTGTTGTTCTTCATATTTTAATTTAATTTTAGAAAAGTACACCTAACTCAAATTCCTAGAACCACCGCTTGCAAGGATGACATGACACGAATATGCACCTTTGGCTTAAGGCCGGATCCTACTATAGCTACAGATGAACTCCTGACTCTGGGAAAACTACGGCCACATTCATAGACCCATTTCAGACTCAAGGTCTCACACTCTTTGGGGGTTTTCACCCTGAAAATCCGAAGCCAAAAATGCCCCTTTTCTCGCATCGTGGCCATTCCTCATCCTCCTCTTCTCTCCCAACAATCAGCTCCAAAACCTTCAAACCTCAAAAACCCAGCTTCTTCCCCTCTCCCTTCTCCGCCCGCCATGTCTCCCCTTTAATCCTCTTCTGCTTCTTCTCGCTCTTCGTCGGCATTGCCGGAACCTTTTTTGCTATCGTTGCCATCCTACGCCACCAGCCTCTACCCGTGTACCGCTGCGGCGGATCCGAAGATGCTTTCCGTGCATTTTACTCCTCATCGACTCACCACCTTGGAGGAGATCAAAGTGCCCACGGTTTGATTGATCGCCCAAAAGTTCTTGGGTTTGTCGGGATTCAGACTGGTTTCGAATCTGTTGATCGTCGTGCTGCCCTAAGGGAAACTTGGTTCCCTGCCGACCCAGATGGCCTTTTGCGGTAAATTCGCTGAAATTGTTCGTTGATGATGTTATATTGTTCCAGTTGATGCGCTGGTAATGTATTCTACTGTGGAAATACATTAATCATTATATAGCTAAGGTTCTGAATAAAAATTCGTAGAACCAAGATTTGAGAAAGATCTGATTTATTCGTAGCTGAACTACTGAATTAAAATTCATGGAACCTATTTTTAGTAAGATTTGATTCGTTGATACCCAACTACCAGTTATTCCTAGTATATGTAGGAGACTTCTTGCATCAGTGTGTTAATTTATTGTTTTGGACACAAAATGATCTGTCATGACTCATGAGGATCTTGAAGTTAGCTGTTTACCGGAGCATGTCTTCATTCTCATTCCTTGTCCCAGAGAAGCATTCTGATACAGTGTTTGTTTGGTTTTGTATTCGGATTTGTGGACTGGATATGATTCTATAACTGGGTGGCACAAGGATCCTAATTGTATTATAACTGAATAATATTTTGATAGGTTGGAGCAAGCCACTGGTTTAGCATTTAGGTTTGTAATAGGGTATTCAAGAGATGCAAAGAAGATGGCAGAGCTACAGAAAGAGGTGGAGAAATATCGAGATTTCCTGATTATAGATAACGAGGAAGAATACCTCAAGCTTCCATACAAGACGTATGACAACTTGTGCTTCATTTTTCCACTCCTTGTAGTAGTTCAATAATTCAATTGTCTAAGAACCCTTTTCTTTTTCCCATATAGATTGACATTTTTCAAGGCAGCCTACGAACATTTTGAAGCAGAGTATTATGTGAAAGCCGATGATGACATTTACTTGCGTCCAGGTATTTAATTTCAGATTCCCCATGTAGATATAGTAAATTGATTAGAAGGAATCAATATATCTAATGTCATATTGGTTCTAGATCGATTAGCAACCCTTCTTGCCAAAGAAAGAACCCATTCACGGACGTATATAGGTTGCATGAAGAAAGGACCAGTGATCACTGACCCCAAGTTGAAATGGTAACTTCTCGGTTAGTGTGGAGTTGTTATGACGCAGACAGCCTGTTTTTTCATAACCGTCCGGATTCTACCTCTGGATAAGAGTACTTCTAAGTCTAACGTCGACGATTGTGTAGGTATGAGAAATCAGGACATCTGATTGGCAATGAGTACTTCTTGCATGCGTATGGCCCTATATATGTGCTTTCAGCCGAAATCGTTGCTTCACTGGCAGCTGCTAGAAACAATAGGTATGCCAATCAACATAATTTTCTTCTGTTTATGATTAATATCTTCATTGATTCTCTGCTATCGAAATATCTAGTTCATTGGTCGAGTCTGGCTTTTTTCTGTTTTGTTTTAGCATGATTATTTACTTTTGTTGGAGATATTCAAAAGGAATTTTACCACAGTAATATTAGTCATCTTGTTGGACAAAAAGCTGAAATTAGGTACTTGAGCTCACTAGCAATGCAGTCAAAAGCGCGATTCTACCTAGAAGCTGTTGGATGACTTAGAAGCGTAAAACCGTAAGCTTTTAAGTTTTAAAGCATAGATTTTGACTACATTTATAAGGGAAAATCACGATTCTACATAGAAGCGTTTTGGTGACCTAAAGAGGTAAAAGCGTAAGCTTTTAAGTTTTAAAGCGTGATTTTGACCGCATTGCTCACTAGTAATGTTCTACTTCACCCTTGGTGGTATATAGTATGTGAGGCAATGATTAGTAATGCTGCTAGCTAGTGACACTAGTGATCATGAAGCTTCAACACTTAGCTATTGTAACATGCTCAACTTCCTTAGTTACTACATTCATAAGTCACCCAACATTCTTCTACATGTGATGATTTAAGTCAGACCATTTCTTCTGACCTCCCTGCTCCTCCTCTGAGATCTATTGGTGTTAGTCCATCTTAGGTCATCTTCTTATCACCTTGTTACATTTATAGGAAGGTTGATTGGCCTTGTTGAAGGTAAGGTTTCTAGAAGGTAATGATATCATGCATCTTCATTCGGGCCGCCTGAATCCTGATTAACAGTAGTGACTAGGTGTTCAATTTTATTCTGATTTAAAGAATACCAAGACCTTGCAGTTCATTAGGACTTTCAGTATCAATTGTTCCACAATGATGCATCCCAACTTGCTAGTGGTTCCATGATATCTCTGAAGCACTAAGGGAACAATCAAATTCCTTGTTTAGTTTTCTAGACATTAACTTCTGGTGCTAAGTTTTCTACTCTGCTTACCTTTTTGTTTCAAGAGGATATAAGTTAATTATGTCACTACAGTGAGTTGTCTACCTATTCTTATACTAATAGTTGGAACATTT